CTTCAAGTTCACTAACTGTTTTTTCTGCCAAGTCTCATCTGCTTTTCATTTCATACTCATTTTATTATAGCTTTTGCCTCTAGAGATTTGACTCTCTTTATTTCTTATATATCTCTATTTTACATGTTTAATATTTTCTCTAAATTTTTATATATATAGAATATAGTTATAATAAATATTTTAATGTCCTCACACTGGTTTCAATTATTTTTCTCCTCATTATGAGTCATATTTTCCTACTTCCTTATTTACCTGTTTTGTTTTTGATAGTGGAGGTTTAATCCAGAGACATCTTTTTTTTTTTTTTTTTTTTTGAGATAGGAGCTCACTCAATTGACAAGTTGCTGAGGCTGGCCTCCAACTTGCAAACCTCCCACTTTTGACTCCCAATTTACTGAGATTACGGGCCTTTGCCATTGCACCTGGTATTGCCTTGTAGTTTTTTTTTAATGTTGAACATTATGAATTTCACCTTTTTGGATATTGAATATAGTTATTTGTTTTTGAGATTTATTCTGAGGTATAGTTATTTGGAAGTAATTTGGTCCTTTTAAGTTTTACTTTCAAAATTCATTTGACATCACATGGCAGCATTGAGTCTAAGGTGAATTTTCCACTACAAAGGCAAACACAGATTCTGAGTAGAGAATTTCCCATGAACTTAGGAGATTTCGTGTTCTGGTTGGTAGAAATAAGTACGGGGCACAGCCCTTAGTGAGCTATAGGTGCTGCTTCCCTTGTCCCCTTTCAGTTGGCATTTTCCTGAACCAGGGTACTTTCCTGGGCTGCTCTAATCAGTACTCAGCTGAAGACCAGAGGGGAACCTTCTGCATATCTCCAGCCTCTTTCTGTGCTGCTGTCTTCTGCAAACTCCAGCTACCTTGCTCACCCTGGGCCCTCATCTGTCTCTTCAACTCGGGGAGTCCCCCAGGCTCCACCTGGACTCCTTCTTTCTCTGGGATGGCCTGAAGACTCTCCGAGGGCACGAAGCTGAGACAGTCCTGACTCTCTCTCATCGCTGACTTCTCTTTTTTTTTTTTTTTTTTTTAAAGAGAGAGTGAGAGGCAGAGGGGGACAGAGAGAGAGAGAGAGAGAGAGAGAGAGAGAGAGAATTTTAACATTTATTTATTTTTTTCTTAGTTCTTGGCGGACACAACATCTTTGTTGGTATGTGGTGCTGAGGATCGAACCCGGGCCGCACGCATGCTAGGCGAGCGCGCTACCGCTTGAGCCACATCCCCAGCCCCTCATCGCTGACTTCTCTTGTCAGGGATTATCATCCTTCTTGGCTAATAGCCATTATCTTGAAATACCATCATTCATATGTTTGATCCAGTATGTAGATGATTCTTGTGCCAGATGATAAATCTGGTCTCCATTAATCCATCTTGGCCAGAAGCAGAAGTCCCTTTGTTATAGTTTTTAAAAGAAGTTATTAGTTTTATGTAGTCACACTTATTGATTTTAGTTTATGATTTTTTGCTGCTGGTATGTTGTTTAGTAATTAGAAATTCACTGGTAATTTTTCTAGAAGTTTTTGATAGTTTCTTTTTCACATTTAGATGTTTATTTTAGAGTATAACATACTCATCTGTTTTTCCCCAAATGATTGTCCACAGGACTTGCTTTATTCACATCTAAGTCAAAATATTCAGAAGTTTAAAATGCCCTTCAGTGATTGAAAAAAAAAATAGTTCTCATAAACTTAGTTCATAGCTCTTTCTGTTTTTCTTAAAAGCAATCTCATAATTTGCCTTTCGGGTATGGGCTCCAAAAAGGTCCCTCATTGATTTCATCCATTGTTTCTCTTTTCTCTTCTCAAACAGTGAACACAAGCACTTTTGGAGTTTTCATTTGGAGCTTTTAGGTTTAACATTCTTTTCCAACAGAGTTGAGGTCCTGACTTTATGCTTGATTCTTGTTGTGTCAGGGACTGGCTGGACAACCGTCCAGGGTGACAGGTGCAGTGCTGGCCAGGGGAATCCTTGTTCCTATTTAAAGCCTCAGTGGCACCCTGTCACCCTCAGGAGAAAGTCCAAATTTCTTAATATGGTTTGAAAGGCCTTTTGTGATCTTTCTTGGCTTCACTCCAGCTTCACGCTCTCTCCTTCCAGCTCTCCCATCATCCCTATGAATGCATTGCATTTATTTTCCCTAAAAAGGCAGGCTTTCCAGTTCTGAGTAAAAAACAGGCTGGGTTAGCCTGCTGTATTCTTATATTTAAAAATATTTGCTTTTTCCTCATAATGTCAATCTATTATAACTATTTTGGTGCTGTTTTAGTTTAATATTTATTACCCCTTTGACACTAAGCCCATAGGAGAGGGACCTCATCCCGACCCAGTAAGGTGTCTGACAAACAACAAGCTCTCGGGGAAGTCCTTATGGAATGAAAGAGTAAGTGGACTAGGTGGCTGGGTAGCAGGCTGTTGACCTACACCTGCTAATGACTTAACATATGAAGTAATGTTCATTGTCACTTAAGGTTGCTATGCTACAAGAGAAAAATACCTCTGGGCACTGTCAGTTTTGCTTCTTTAATTAATGACCTTTTTCTCTTCTAGAGTGAAGCCCATTGACTCATGTTTTGAAAAAAATAGTTTTATTGGCCAGTAGCCGGGTTTGCAGCTTAGTTAGCGAGTGGGTCAAGGAAGAGACAAACTATGCTGTTGATAGGTTCAGATGTTGAAATAAAAGGCTATCTGTTTGTGGGAGGGAGAGGCTGTTTACAATAAAAAATATAAATGAAAACTCACATTTCAGTATTTTTTCAATAAAAAAAGAAAAAGTAAAGGACCTACAACAAATAAATATGTGACTATTAATGAAAAGAAACTCAAAGCATTTTATAAAGCAGTGGAACAACTTGCTTCTTGAAGTGGACATTTAGCATAGTCTCCACATTCCTTGGCATTTCTTCCAGTGGCTAATAAAGAGTTGTCTAGTTCCTCATACTGAGGTATGGAGATATCATATGTCAGATCACAGTGGTGAGAAGCACTGGCTTCTGACAATGAGGAAGTAGTTTCACTTCTTAAAGTCTTAGTTTGTCCTATAAAATTAAAATAAAGTCATTATCTTATAAAGATGTTGTAAAGATTAAAGGAGATAATATGTAAGCTGTTCAGTGTTGTCTGACAACCTAATGTTAAATGTTAGCTGTTATTATTAAAATATTAATTTCATCAAACCGCTTTTTGGGGTACCAAGAATTGAACTCAGGGACACTCAACTACTGAGCCACATCCCCAGCCCTATTTTGTATTTAGAGACAGGGTCTCACTGAGTTGCTTAGAGTCTCACTTTTGCTGAGGCTGGCTTTGAACTCATGATCCTCCTGCCCTCAGCCTCCTGAGCTGCTGGGATTACAGGGGTGTGCCACCTTACCTGGCTAATGAATGATTTTAATGAAGTCACACTTATGCAATCATTGCCTCAATTTGAGGACATTTTTAACCTCCTAAAAAGAAAGTCCATACCCTTTAGTTGTCACTTTTCAAACCCCCATTCCTAGATCATCAATAATCTATTTTGTGTCTCTATAGATTTGACTCTTCTGGAAACTTTTAAAATATATATTAATGGGGTTGGGGTTATGACTCAATGGTAGAGCACTTGCCTAGCATGCATGAGGCACTGGGTTCAATGATCAGCACCACATATAATTAAATAAAATAAAGATCCATTGACAAGTAAAAATATATATATATAATGTATATATATTAATGGAGTCATGCAATATGTAGTCTCTTATGATTGTCCTTTTGCATAATGTTTATAGGGTTCATTATGTTATTTATCAATAGTTCATCCTTGTTTTTAAAATTTTTTTTTTTTTAGCTTTAGATGGACACAGTATCTTTGTTTTATTTTTATGTGGTGCTGAGGATGGAACCCAGTGCCTTCCACACATGAGATGAGCAGTCCACCACTGAACCACAACCCCAGCCCAATAGTTCATCCTTTTCACGGCTGGATAATATTCCATTGAATATGGAGATACCACATTTTGTTTATTCATTCACCAGTTAATGGAAATTTCAGCTGTTTCCACTTTCTGGTTATTATGAATAATGCTGGTATGAACATTTGTGTGCAATGTTTTTATGTAGACATGTTTTCATTTGTCTTTGGCATATACCTAGGAGTTGAATTTCTGGTTCAAATTCTGACTCAGTGTTTTTAAGTTTTTTCTGATGACTCTGCCATGTTACTTCCCTCCTGCAGTGTGGGAGAGTGCCTATTTCTCCATGCCCTCACCAATACTTATCTGACTTTTTTATTACAGCGGTCCTAGTGAGGATGACAATATGTCATCGTGGTTTTAACTTTCATTTCCCTAATAACTAATGATGGTAAACATCTTTACATGTGTTGATAGAAATGTGTGTGTTTCTTGCAGAATTGTCTATTCAGATCTTTTGCCCAGTTTTTTCATTTGGGTTACTTGTCTGATTATTGTAAAACAGAGATGCTTTGTGCACGTGTGTGTGTGTATGTGTGTGTGTTTTGTGTGTGTGTGTGTGTTTTGTGTGTGTGTGTGTGTGTGTGTTGCTGGGATTGATCCCAGAGTCTCATGCATGCATGTTTGGAAATAAGATGCTTCTTTAAAAAAAAAAAATATATATATATATATATATTGTAATTGGACACAATATCTTTATTTTATTTATTTTTAAGTAATGCTGAGGATCAAACTCAGGGCCTCACAGGTGCTAGGCGAGAACTCTACTATTGAGCCACAACCCCAGCCCCAAGATGCTTCTTAATATTAATGTGTATTTAGGGGCTGGGGTTGTGGCTCAGCAGTATAGCACTCACCTAGCACGTGCAAGGCCCTGGGTTCAATCCTCAGTACCACATAAAAATAAATAAATAAAATAAAGGTATTGTGTTCAATTACAACTAAAAAATAAATATTTAAAAAATATTAATTTGTATTTATATTACCACCAAAGAGTGCTAGACATCATTTAACAGCAAATCTTATTTTTCTACAGGTACTGAAGATCTTTTTTAAAAGTTGTCAATGAGAGCTACGGTCGACTGGGATATCAAAAAGCAAAACACTTTCAGTACTGGTCATCATGCGTAAAGGGGTACCAAAGGACCCAGAGATTGCTGATCTGTTCTACAAGGATGATCCTGAAGAACTTTTTATTGGTTTGCATGAAATTGGACATGGAAGTTTTGGAGCAGTTTATTTTGTAAGTAATTTTAAAACATATCATTTAGAAAAATCAGATTTAAAAAGTTGGAATTCTACATTTTCTCCACACATACAGCTATTACTTACAAAATATGCTTGATTTTTTTCAAATTAAATGATGTCTGCTGTCATTTATGGTCATTGTGGAAAAGCTAGTTCCAGAATTTGAGGCCTTCTTCAAGGCAGTGGTGGTACAAGGGAGTTGGAAGCTTGAAGTTGAGCCCTGTGTGGTTCCTCAGCATGCCATGCTCTTTCTGCCTCAGGACCTCTGCACATGCTACCCCGCTCACGCAGGAGACTTCACATTTTATCCCCATCCCTCTCCAGTCCCTGTGCATCCCTACAGGTTTCAGCTTGAGTATTACTTCTACAAGACAGCATTTATTCTTCTGTCCACCAAATAATCAGGGCTTTTGCTTATGATCTCCTAACTGTGTTAGTATTTCATTGAATACATCACAGCTGTAATTTTAAAATGGTGTATAAGATTTTATTCATAACTGTTCCTTCTAAATAATATGCATCATGAGAACAGGGGTTATGTCTATTTCATTCATTGTTACATTCCCAGGAACTAATATTTTTTGAGACAAAGTAGGAATTCAATATACACTGGATGGATGGATGGATGGGGTAGGTGGGTGAGGGAGTGGGTAGATAAAAGAGTCAGAAATGGGGGCTGGGGTTGTGGCTCGGTGGTAGAGCCCCTGCCTAGCATGTGTGAAGCACTGGGTTCCATCCTCAACATCACATAAAAATAAATAAGTAAAAGTATTGTGTCCATCTACAACCAGATAAATAAATAATAAAAAAGAGTCGTAAATGGATAAATGAATGAACAGACAGCTATTCAGAGAAATGGATAAAGGTTTGTTGGTGATAGTCATGTCAACATGTTAAGTTGGTATTTTAATTGAAAAGGTACAAAGGGGTTCCTAGTTACATTCCAAGGATGTGACTGTCTCCTGATAATAAAAATGAGAAATAACTGATATGTTAGGGCAGCTCATTTGTCTGAAATTCATTAATTCATTATATAAAATATATTTCTTTAATTAGATAATCTTAGAAGTTTGCTTCATCGAAGTCATGAATGTTTCCTTCAAAGTATTAATCTATTAAAGCCAATAACAAATCAAGTCCTGATTACTACCAATTTCTTTTCCAACGCTTTTGTCAAATAACTTCTTAAAATCAAGCAGTATTTGACCGTTTGTTTTTAGTGGTCCTTCTTTACATTCTTCTGGTTGGGTGGATTATCATCAGGGGCTTATCATTCCTTCCAGATGAGAATTTATGTACTGCGTGTTCCACTCCTTCCTTTGCTGTAGCTGACTCTTCAGGCCGAGTTTTCCCTGAGCTCTTCCTCCTCCCCTGGGTCTGCACTCAGCATCACGTTCCTTCTCCTCTTTTGTCCTTCTAGATTCAACCCCTATTCAAGTATGTCATCAGGAACTGACTTTCCATGACTGAACAGGGTGATACTTTTTAAGACTCCCACATTAGTCTTTGATCTTAAAATAACATTGAAGACCCAGTTAAAGTCCTGTCTTCTTTATTCACGTAGATACTTTTTTAAAGGCATTTTTAATTATAAACATATAATACATGAATCAGTGTGCATAATACACGCACATGTATTTCGATATATAATTTAAGGAATAATTAAAAGGTAGGGGCTGGGGTTGAAGCTCAGCGGTAGAGCACTCGCCAAGCACATGGGAGGTTCTGGGTTCGATCCTCAGCATCACATAAAAATAAACAAATAAAATAAAAGGTATTTGTGTCCAAAAACAACTAAAAAGAAAATATATTTTAAAAACAAAGGTAAATCTCAGCCGGGCATGGTGGTGTATGCTTCAGTCCGAGCAACTTGAGAGACTGAGGCAAGAGGATTGAAAGTTTAAGGCCAGCCTCAGCAGCCCAGCAATTTAGCCAGACCCTGCCTCAAAATAAAAAAATAAAAAGGAATGGGAGTATAGCTCAATGGCAGATCTCCTCTGGGATCAGTCTCAAGTTCTGGGTGTGGGGTGGGAGGGGAGGTAAATCTCTGTGTAAATACCCCAGGGTTAAGAAATAGAATACCACTACACCCCAGAAGCCCCTTATGTCCATCTAAAACACATGTTTAACCCACTTACCTTTCTACCTCTAAACAGTGCAATTTGGTTTTGCCTAGTTTTGAACACTTTCAAAATGGAAGCATTCTGTATGTATTCATTTGTGACCTGTTTATCTCATCCAGAGATTATATTCTTTGGTCATCTTTTCCTACTTTCCTTTTGTTTACTTGATAATAAATTCATCCTCCCTGAATCTCTCTTAACCAGAGTCAGAAAGTGGTCCCAATCTGGTTTGACTCTTTTCTATTTATTTGTATGTGGTGCTGAGGACTCACACATGCTAGGCAAACATTCTACCACTGACCCACCTCCCCAGCCCAGTCTTTGACTCTTTTATTTTAAAAAGCAGCCAGACCTTCTCAAAGTTTTAATATTTCAGAATGATAACAACAACCCAAGCCTGTTTTGAGGCTCACTAACAAGCCACTTATAATAGGGGCAACCTGAGCCCTACCTTGCAGAGGACCCAGTGACTAAGTCTGTTAACAGTAGTTACTAACTATTATGTTATGTGTTGCTAATGATAGGAGAACTTAGGAAGATGCTTGGGAGCTTTGACATGGAAATGTAATCATTAAGTCTGTATGCCTGTATACATGTGAACAGTTCAGGCCCATATAAACCCATAAGGCATTAAAAAACAGATTTGAAGGGAATTAATGACACTTCGTATAAAACTACAAAAAGCCACTTTAACATTTTATCTATAGTGAACACAGAAAGAGTCCTCTAAAAATGAATTTTTCCCACTTGCTGCAGTATTATTTATGTGTTATTCATACCACTGTACCCAGGATTGGCTAGTACCTTACATGGACTACCGCAGGAGCCCACGTTGGTCTCTCTCCACCTCACCTCAGTAAATTTTAAAAAAATGTAAATCTGATCACTTTCCCCTGCAGGGCTCTCCCTTTTTCTTAGGCTAAGACCAAAATTCCACCATGGCCAGCCTATAAGGTCCTTCTCTATGGTCCTGCTTTCTGCTCTTCTCATTGCTCTAGTTGGCTGATTTTTGATTGGATCATCCATCCTGGGATTCTGCATAAGCTTTTCTCTCTGGAATGTTTTCCCCACCATTTGCAGCTTCTTGTCTCTTATATGCCCTTCCTCTTTCTTCCACACTGAGCTTAAACACTATGCCTTCAGGGAAGGCTCTCCTGACCTCCCTAAGTCATGTCTTCTAGGTTGGGATCTCAGAAGAGCACATACCTTACTTTACAGCATGTCACAACTGCAGTTTTACATTTGTTTGTTATAATTTTATTTTATTTATTTTTTATTGCCTATCCTACCAGAGGAAAGATAGATACCCTTGGGTGTATGTACTCCCAATTATTTTTTAGAGGGGGGCGGGGCCTGTAATCAGGAATTGAACTCAATGACACTCGACCACTAAGCCACATCCCCAGCCCTATTTTTTATTTTGTTTCAAGAGAGGGTCTCACTGAGTTGCTTAGCACCTCACTTTTGCTAAGGCTGGTCTTGAACTTGTGATCCTCCTGCCTCAGCCTCCCGAGCAGCTGGGATTACAGGCGTGCACCTGGCATTTACTCCCAATTCTATCCCTAGAATTTAGCCCAATACCTGACACATTGTGAATACCTAGCAAGTACTTGTTGAATGAATGAATGATGGAGAACTTGGCATGGCTAACTGGTGCTTTTCTTGGATCATAGTCATTCTAGCAACCAATGATTTTGTACCTAATACTATAATTCTGGTAGATTCTTTGTAGTTTGCAACTTTACACAGAATGATGCCAGCTCTTGCAGAACCAATCAGCTGACAGTATACGGTATACTTAGAAAACAGAAAGTGGTTACTTGCTAAAATATCTGTGTGTGTTTGGAATTACATAGTTAATTCGCAACTTAGCATTAGTAACAAGATAGTAAGAAACTTTAAAGAAAAACAAAAAAGGGTTGAGTATGTTCATTTTTTTTATTCAGTTGAACACACTGTAAATTTTGTGGGTTTCTTGTGCTCCTTTGTGAGACTCAGCATATCGTCCATAATCTACCTAGAGCAAATACTTAGGTCTTTTCATCTGGGCATAGTTGCTTTTTGGTTTTAGCAGATGCTCAATAAAGAGGGCAAAAAGAAAATAGCAAAAAGTCATGGCTGGGGAACAGTTAAATTATAAACACATAGTAAGAAAAGAAAATGATCATGAGTTTTCTCTACAGTTGTGAATTCCAGTCTTTTACCTCTGAGCCCTGCTATAACTTTATTGGTCCACAGAAATAAGTCATGCAAAGTACCTTATTAACATCAGGGATATGGCCCTGAAGCAGATCACTGTTTTTTGAAGAAAGCCCAAATTTCAGAATCTTTTAATGGCTTATTTTTCTGAAAATTTTAAGAAATTCAATTTTAAATCTCTTACGTAAATTGAGAGGAAAAGACTATCAGGTGAGGCTTCTATGTGTGCTTTAAATGAACTTGTGTCTCTAGTATGATGAAGACAAGTAGAGAGAATTATGAGACAAGACAACTTTCACAGATAGAAAAACTGCACACATAGGCATACATAAATGTGTGTATGTAATACATTCTTATCACAAATCATAAGTAATCCTTCAGGTGAAAGTCAGTCTTGGGATTAATTTTGCCTTCTGGTACACTGTTAAATATAGTAGTCACTAGGCACATGTAGCTATTTAAATTTAAGTTAATTAAAATTAAATAAAATTTAAAATTGATTTCTTCAATTACACTAGACACATTTTTTAAATGTTTTTTTTAGTTGTCAGTGGACCTTTATTTTATTTATTTGTATACGGGGCTGAGAATCAATCCCAGTGCCTCACGTGTTCTAGGCAAGCACTCTACCACTGAGCCCCAGCTCCAGCCCTTGATATGCATTCTTCCATAATTATTTTCTACATGTAACACTACTGACACTCTTAGTATTTTGCAAAAATAGGATTATAGTGTACATTTATTTTTTTTGTCATGACAATTTTTACATTTTTCCATATTAACACATCCTTATTCTTCAATGATTGTTTCATTATGTAACCACACTGTGTTTATTGAACTGGTTCTCCATTGATGGATATTCTACAAAATAAAGCCAATATATTCATTTTGGAAAATAGCCTTATTGTTTACTTGTTTCAGTGTGTGTGTGTGTGTGTGTGTGTGTGTGTGTGTGTGTAAAGAAAAGCTGTTCCTTAAAGTTGGGGTGGAAACATCTGTCTGGCCTATTAAATGTTGGAGCATCTTGTAACGGGGATAGTCAAGTGTGAGCATAATATTTTTAAAGTCTCAAGTCAAAGAGTTAAACCAACTGAAACGTAGTAATTTCTTTTTATTTTCCTCTTCCCTCTTAACACAGGCCACAAATGCTCATACCAACGAGGTGGTGGCGGTTAAGAAAATGTCCTATAGTGGGAAACAGACACATGAGGTAAGATGAGACAGTTGAATGCCTACACATACTTACAGGAAATAAGTATGAAGTTAACAAAATGATAAGTTCTGGTGTTCTGTGCACAGTAGGGTTACTAGAGTTCACAAGGTTGTAGTGTGTATTTCAAAATAACTAGAAAAAAATATTCTGGATGTTCCCATCATTAAGAGATGATAAATGTTTGAGATGATGGGTATGCTAGATACCGTGATTGGACAATTACATTTTGTATATATGTATCAAAACATAACACTGTATCCCATAAATGCATGCAATGATTATATGTCAAATATTTGAAAAAAATAAGGCTTACAGAAAAGAAAAGTAAATAAAATTCTCTAAACATTTACCTCCATTCTTTTTCCCCCCTCCTGCTTATGGAGTAAATAATAAAAGCTTTTAATATTCCAGATCAATCAACTATTTTCAGAAATAGAGCACAGGTGTGTGTAATGGCTTCATTATAATGTCCTCAACAATAGATTTGTATTTACACATACTCAAACTGGAGGAATAACACAAGCTTAAATAGCTTCTTTGTTTGTTTAACATTTACCTTATATCCATTTCAAATAATAAAAATAATATTATATATGTATACTTGATAATAAAATACTATTTTCAGCTTCTAAATCAAAATATTTCTTTTCTGACTTCAATAGAAATGGCAAGATATTCTTAAAGAAGTTAAATTTTTACGACAATTGAAGCATCCTAATACCATTGAGTACAAAGGTTGTTATTTGAAAGAGCACACTGCTTGGGTAAGCCAGTCTCTGTTATCTTCCTTTTTTCTGTTAAATTTTCTCTATTATTTATTTGAACTGTACAATTCTCTTTCCCATCTCTGTCCCTTAGACTTTTGTTAACACTTTAGAGTGTGTCATGGTATAACTCTCGTGAGATTAAATATGATCACCAGCCTTTTGGAAGTTTCATTCTGTACACTCCACAGAGAGATGGGGAAAGTGGACCTCATCTTATAAAGAGGGATTTGTAAAGACAAAATGCAAGGGCTTGCACTCTCATCCTGAACCTTCATCACTGCCATTTCTTATCCCGTACTCCACCTCACCACAGAACTGGAACTGTGCTTGCCATTGCCATGACTTAAATGTTTCCTAAACAGAACCTACCATCTGATTAAAGCGAAACTGTCTCTTGTTCCACTCCATCCTCGTGTGTCTTGATATGACTGTATTTCTGTTTTTAAGGCACATTAGGCACCATTTAGAACATGAAAATGCTAAATGTGCTACTTTGTCAGATGGCACATTCTCCCTCAAAGTCCAATTTAACTGTCATTTATTGAGTGCTTACCATGTACTGAGTTCTTTCCTGTACATGGTCGCTAATTAAGGAATGGAATATTGGTGCCCAAGCAGTATACTAAAATATTTCTGTTCAAGTGATCTGTAAGATATCTAGGACTATCATTCCCATGCCGAGCAGAAGAAATTAACCAAAGGAGCATCTTCTTATCTGGAAATCAGTTTTTCTCTGACAACCTCAGCAGACTTGAAGGAGTCTAGAAACAGATTTAAATCAGGTAGAATAAATGTTACAAAATCCAAGTTTGAAATCTTCAGAAAATCCTCTAAGCTCTCATTCAAAACCTGTTTACTCTTAGATTATATAGAGTGCTAATAAGTTTGGTTACCTGATTTCTGTCTACAACTGATTGAATGAGCTAATTAAAAGGTGCTTTTAGGGCCAGGTATAGTGGCTCACATCTGTAATCCTGGAGACTTGGGAGAGTGAGACTGGAGGCAAAATCAAGGCCAGCCTGGGTAGCTTAGCAAGACCCTATTTCAAAATAAAAAATAAAAAGGCCTGGGATGTGGGAAGGCACCCCTCAGTTCAATCCCCAGTAATCAAATAATAATAATAATAAATTTTACAAAAAGTCCTCTTAGGAACTGAGCTGCTAGAAACATACATACAAACAGACATAAAAATAATTTGCCCATAAAGAAGAAGTCAGGGAAGCTAGAAAGTAGCCCTAATAACGTAAGGCTGAGCAGCTACAGCTGCCTCCTATAAGGAGCGCACATCCATGTCCTGCGCCCCTGTGTTACGGAGTAATAGGGAAGCAAATATTTGTGAAAAAGGCTCAGGTTTTTAAAATAGAATTAAAAAAATATAAACACTAAACCTATTTATTCATTCCATTCAGTTTTAAAGTTGTATAGATTGTACTTGACATACAGTGGTTTGATTTCAGACTTTTTGACTTTACAATAGTGCAAAACCAATACACAGTCAGTAGAAACCGCACTCTGAATTTTGAATTTTTATCTTTTCCCAGGGTAAGTAATATGCAGTATAATCCTTTTTCATGATGCAGGACAATGGCAGCAAGCTGCATCTCCCTGTCAGCCTCATGATCACAGGGCAAACAACCAGTACTGTGTAGTATAGTAGTCTCCTCTGATCCATGGGGAATATGTTTCAAAACCCCTAGTAGAGCCTGAAACCACAGATGGTATTGCGGTGTTTCCTGTCTCTCTGAGTTGAAGGAATCTGGAAAGAGATTTCCATCAGGCAGAGTAAATGTTTAATTTATAAATTAGTTTGAATTCATCAATTAGGCACAATAAGAGATTAACAACAATAACTAATAAATAAAGCAATTACAAAAGTATATGCCGCCGGGCACAGTAGCTCATGCCTGTAATCTCAGCAGCTCTGGAGGCTGAGACAGGAGGATCACCAGTTCAAAGCCAGCCTCAGCAAAATCAAGGTGCTAAGCAACTCAGTGAGCCCCTGTCTCTAAATAAAATACAAAATAGGGCTGGGATGTGGCTCAGTGGTCGAGTACTCTGAGTTCAGTCCCCAGTACCAAAAAAAAAAAAGTATATTGCTATAAAAATGCCAGCATTACTACTTATAGTTTGGGATTCATTATTAAGTAAAATAGAATTAATTGGAGGAAAAAGAGAATTACTTGAATACAAGCACTGTGATATTGTGATAGTTGATCTGATAAGCAAGATGGCTACTAAGCGATTAATGGTTGGGTAGTATACACAGTATGATACTCTGACCAAAGGGATGATTTACTTCCAGAGAGAACCATACAATGAAATATTTCATCATGTATTCAGAATGATGCACAATTTTAAACTGATAAATTATTTAATTTAGAATTTTCCATTTAGTATTTTTGGAACACAGTTGACTGTGGGTAACTGGAACAGCAGGAATCAAATTTGTGGATAAAGGGAGACTACAGTACTGTATTGCTAAGCTATAATGTTCAGTAAATAGGTGTATTAAATGCATTTTTGACTTATGATATTTTCAACTTATATTGGGCTTATCAGGACATGACCCTCTTGTAAGTCAAGGAGGACTAGTATTCCTTTTTTGCATATTCAATTTAAGGAAGTTGTGTATGCCCATCCAGTTATTCAGTTTAAAAAAAAACTAGAAAATTATGTGGTACAACTTTTTAAAATTTTTCCAGCAAAGATGGCTAAAGGAAAAAAAAATAGACACAGAAGGATAATGTTCATTATAATATTATGTGGAATCTTTCATTTCTCAATAAGAAATAAAACAAATGTTTCTGAATCTAGTATGTCAAGCAGAAACCACAATCAAGTTTCTAAACTTCTTGTAAAATGCTAAATTATCACAGTAATGCAAGTTAGATCATATATAAATGTTTTCACATTAATTTGTTTAAAAATGAAAAGAACCAGTAAGTTGATATTGGTTATATCTAGTTGATGATAGGAAATTTATATTTCATAATGAGCTTCTGCTGGTTTTTAAAATAACAAAATGTTAATTAGTAGGAGTGTGTATGCTTGCACGTATATGTGTGGAGATGGTCCCTGAGCATTCATAGTTTTGATCTTGGCTACAGATCAGCAATCTGGGACACCTAAAATATCTAAAAGAATAAAACAATGTTTCTTCATTTTTGAGTTAAGAAACTCTCCCAAGATTGTCAAGAAATATCAGGAGTATTTTAATAGAAATGTCTCCAGATACAAATTAAAATGTCCCATATCTCTCTGGGATTCCAGATAATGACACAGCAGGCTACATCTCTCCCCCACCCCCAGGTGCTGGGGATCAAACCCAGAGCCTCACACATGCCAGGCAAGCACTCCACCCGTGAGCTCCACCCAAGATGTGTTTCTTATTTAGAACTTCTTAAAACATGAAAATAAGGAGTCCCTACTTACTGGTTTGGGGAGGTTGTTTGGTTTGTTTTGGTGCTGAGCATTGAATCCAGGTCTTTGCATATGGTTTATTTTAGCTACTATTTCTCAATATAAATTTTACTGGCTCATGTATTTTTTAATACTCTCTAAGTTACAAATTTTAATTTATAATGCAATGTAACCACTTTAAATTCTTTTAAAAATAAGGTGGTGTGGAAATTGGTAAGTAAATAAATTGGCAATCTCAGCTTCACCATTGACAAGGAATATTTCCATATCCAGCCCCCTTATAGTCTTAGGCCAATGCAAGTTAAGTAGTAACAAAAACTGAGATGTTGAAAATAGTGAAAATCAATTCATGTCAGACAACCAAGATAATACAGGTTCAGGTGAGTCAGAATATTTATTCACCTAATATTCTGAGTTCCTTGGTCGGTTGGTTGGTTGGTTGGTTTCAGAAATTACTCATTAACCCTTATTGTTCTGACTGGTTTTTTTTTTAAATCTATTACAGTTGGTGATGGAATATTGCTTAGGCTCAGCATCTGATTTGTTAGAAGGTGAGAATAAAAGCACTAGACTTTCCTCTGTTTCACCTTGGGCAGAATGTTAACTACCCTACATTTGAGTGCAGTTTGTGCAATCTGATTAGAGAGTGACTTGGACCTAAGGGTTGTGTGGATAAGCTATGCAAACTTCATCTCTGCAGCATCACTGAAGGTGTCTGAGGGAGGATAGCAGCTTCCCTGCTGTTTCTTTCAGGGCCCATCCAGGGAAGGTACCACTTAACATGATGCGGTATATGTTGCTAGAAACATCAAATTTCTCTCTATGTATCAAATTCTATTTATGTTTAACCCTTTCCAATATTGTGTTTGACCCAATTCTCCTCTGGAAATGCTATTATAACCAGAGACTGTGTTAAAAATATACATTAAAAAATATCTTATATCATCCTTTATCTCTGAATAGAAATTGCTTATTAACTGCTTTCACAAATAATGAAAATCTGTAGTTGGAGGGAGTAATTATAGATGGCTTTGTGGCAGAGGAGAATAATATGACCTGGAACATTCCAGGCATTTAAAGTGTCAGAAGGGACTGATAAATTTGAGCCTGGGCAGTTGGAATCAGTGTGGCATTGACTTGCCACTGACAGGTAAATTAACAACACGTCACTTAATGAATATCAGGCTTTGTTTGTTTTATTTGGTTTCGAAGGGTTTTTGTTGTTGTTGTTGTTGTTTTGTTTTTATATACTTGGTTTTCCTGTTACCTGATCATTCGTGGCTTTCCTTTAGAAAATATATACATCGTCTATATTTAGGTAAATGCGTTCCCAAATTATCATTTGGGAAAGTAGATAATTAGTTTGATATAGCTGTGTAAGATGATGAAAAGAGCGGTAAGACTGGTCATTACTCCTGACCTTTTTTTCCCCTCCTTCCTCAGTTCATAAGAAACCACTTCAGGAAGTAGAGATCGCTGCCATTACTCACGGTGCCTTACAGGGACTAGCCTACCTACATTCTCATGCATTGATTCATAGGTAAGATTAGAGAACATTTCCGTTTTCATTTCAGTTACAGGGTTCTCTGTCTGTTCCAGGAATCTTGAAAATTAGTGCATGCTCCAATTTTTAGGGTGGCTAAGGATTTATAGGAAGCAAAGAATTTGCTGCTTTTCTGGATAAAGGAGGAAGATTGCCAGAATTTAGCTCCTACCACCTGATCTCTCAGTTATAGCCACACTTCTGTCACCTCTGCTCTGTAGGGAGCTGTCCTCCAGGCTGAGTGTTAAGGGAAATTTGATGAAGAACCCAGTGACCTTTGGGTACTGTGTCAAGAAGAAAAGAAAATTAACCTTCCTGGCATATATTTATTTCTTAGCTGAGTTCCTTCTTTCTGCCTTTCCTATTGTAAATGGCAAGTTACTCATACATAAATAGATATTAAAATATTTTTCATTTCTATAGTCCATATAGATATGAACTCCAAAAAGTATAATCTTTATTTCAATGGAGGCAGAGATGGGGGCTCAGAAAGATTTCAATAACATTTAGATAATAGCATTTAGATAATAAAATAGGGACTGAAATTCAAATTTCTTAACTCCTAATGCAATCATCCAGGGCTTCTATTTTATATTCCCTTTATTTCTTCTTTTCTTTCTCCCCCTGTGCTAGGGATTGAACAGAAGCCTCATGCATGCTAAGCAAGTGTTCTACACTCATCTATACCCAGCCCCTATCTTATATTTTCTGCACTATAACTCTACTTTTCTCTCTCTACTAACCACTCCTAAAGAGTGATGTTGTTCCCAAACTTTGCTTCCCTCAGTAAAGAGCTTTTGGCAGTTACTGTGCTGAATAGTGGAAGTAGTGGAATAGTCAGTAGATATAAAGGATCTGACTTGGCTCACAGACAAAAGGAAACACTTGGCATTTACTAGGAAGAAGTGAAACTATTAGGTCATAGTTCCCCCTTTTGCTTCTGTTTAAGTCCCCCTACGGGAGCCATCACCAGTTACTAGCTGGTTTATTTATAAAAATGAAGTATCATGGGCTCAGGGTGTAGCTCAGTGGCAGATTACTTCCCTAGCATGTGTGAGGACTGGGTTCCATCCCAGCCCTATAGAAGGAATAAATAAATAAATAAAGATGAAGAATTAACCTAATCATGGCTGATAAATATTGATTCAGTACATTTACCATGATATCTACGGAGTTGACAACTTTTCTTTCAAATGTATTTCTTTGGTACTAAGATGTTATTAATGAATGTTGACTTACTTATAACAATTTTGCTGCTTTTATTGAAACCTAAAGTTCAGCTTTTTGGGTGTCATTATTACCTTAAATCTGCACATTGTTTTACTGTTTTATTCTGTATAATACATTATCTTCTTTAGTTTATAAAAGAAGTTGAAAAGACAAAACAATTTAAAAATGTGCTTTAAATTTTTAAATGAGGACCATATCTCAGATTTTTGTTACTAAAGAAAAATAAATGATGCTTTTTTTTTTTAATTCTCTTTGCCAATGCCTAAAATCATCATGAGGAAGGTAACTGAATTTACAAGGAAAGTTTTTATAAAAGTTGTTTTGGAAGCATTCAAACCTGATCATTTTCAACTTGACATAAGTTCCTCATTTTCTGTTTTATCTTTCCATAGCCCATCAACTTACAACTCTTAGTTGCTAGTACCCATTACACATCATGTCTTAAAAAAAAAAAAAAGAATGAGTACATCCACATCTTCTCATTCTAAATTATCATACTGATGAATTAATTTTTAAATCATATTTTTAAAACATTTTGCTGCATAAAACATCTGATATCCTTAGTAGTGACCACTTGAGACTCATTGTAGTAATAATACAAGAGAAATGCAATTTCCTAACCCCTAATCCTTGTTTGTTTTGATCTTTCAGGGTCTTCTTTTTACTGTATGGTGTTACTTTAAAATAACACCTTCTATATAACATGTACCCTCAAATGCCTTAGAGTGGCAGTTACACTTAAAAGCAAAGAGAAAGGGTCACAGGCAAGAAAGAAAAGGTATGTGTGTAGTTGAGGACTATTGGTTAGGTAGTCAACACAGAGTCATCACAGTTTTATTTAGGTTCCAAAAATGTCGTGGAACTTGGGAGAGAGAAAAAAAAAAGGCAATTCCACATTTCACCAATCTTCCCAGCACAGGGAATACTGCTGGTGACAGGATTTAGCATTTAAGAATATGCCTTTATAAGTAGCACCTGGTGAGATTTCCTTGTCTGCCACCTCTGCCTTTTTCCTCACTGTGCCCCCTCCCTCTGAAGAAATCCTCACCTTTAAGTAATGACTACAACCTGCCCATAAGTACACCCAGGAATCTGGGCCCCTTAGAACATGTGGTTCTTCCTAAATCCCTTTCTGGCTAAGTTTTTTTTTTTTTTTTAAACAAAGTTTTTGCCTTATTAATTGCATGTTCTGACCTTTTCCATAATCAAAATTGAAAAGTAATTTTCTAACCCTATTATTTTTTTCCTATAGGGATATTAAAGCAGGAAATATTCTCCTAACAGAGCCAGGTCAGGTGAAATTAGCTGATTTTGGATCAGCCTCAATAGCTTCTCCTGCCAACTCCTTCGTGGGCACACCTTACTGGTATGTAAGTTAGCAAATATGACATTGTTTTCCCTAGCATTGGTTTGGAGGTTGTTTGTTTTTATTTTTGAGATAGGGTCTCCCTCAGTTGCCAAGCCTGATGTTTAACTTGTAATTCTCCTGCCTCTGCCTCCCAAATAGCTGAGATGACAGGTGCCAGCAGGCCTAGTAATGGTATCATTTTGTTTTGTTTTTTGACAGTGTCTTAGCAGTATACCCCAAAGGGAAATTTTGTTTGAAAAGATTAGAATTACTCAGTAGAAGAAAGAGAGAGAGAAAGAAAGACTCTCTCAGTATAAAAATCACTTTAAATTGTTCCAATGTGGTAGATGTCACTGTGTGTAAACTGAGCCAGACTATCAAAACACTCACCAAGCTCAGGTTTTCTTTTTCATTTGAGGTTTATTTGAACTTTTCTCTTGAACCAGTTTTCAGGTAAGGACAAGAGGACTTCTTTAGGCTTATCTGTCTAACAGCAAGCGTAAGTGATACTTTCTGATGAAAAAAATCTCAGTTCAGGTCTTTGTTGAGTTCTCTGATGCTTCACCTAGCATGGCATTCCCACTCCAAGTTTTTCATCCTATTCCCTTCTAGATTCCTTTCTTTTCTTTCATAGACACATTGGAATTTCATTATATTTTGCAGAATGACTTATATCCCTGCAAAATTACTTACCTACTAAAAAAAAATCAGTTGCCATTTGGATTTTTCCCCTCATAATCAGATAGCATTTACTAAGCAAATGTTTATACATAATAACAGAACACAGTACTGCTCAAAGCAAACCCAACCTGATATAATCCCTGCCCTGCTAATGAAAATGTATTAAAGACAAGCCTGTGAGGTGACATCCATTACCATAACCTATTTGTTTTATAAGTTGTAGTATCTTTGGAATAGCTGATGACTTTGCTTTATATTGTCCCACAAGATATTTTTTTTGTGTTGTTTAAAGTAATTTATTTGTTTCCTGGGCATAGAGGCACAGGCCTGTGATCCCAGCAACTTGGGAACCTGAGGCAGGAGGATCATAAGTTCAAGGGCAGCCTGGGCAATTTAATGAGACCCTATCTTAAAACAAAAAATAAAAAGGGCTGAAGATGTAGCTCAGTGACATAGTACCCCTAGGTTCAATCCCTTGTACCAAGAATAAATAAATATTTTTTAAATTTCATATGTATTAATCCTTTATGAATCTCTATGAGATAACTGCTAGAATTCTTTCCATTTTGTAGATAAATTAACTGATGTACAGATAGGTTAGATAACCTACCCAAGATCAACCTGATAGTGAAGCATGGAATCAGGATATATTGAATACAGTGTCATTTCATGTAGATCATTAAATATGCTGATATTTTGAATAATGTTCTTTAAAAACAATTTATCGAAGGAAATCTAACAGATAAAAAATGTTGAATATCCTTAAGAACTGCTATTTCATTGACTCACTTTATAAAAAAGAAATGGTTTTTAAAACTTACAACTTGAGTTTTGCACATTTTGTTGGCAGGATGGCTCCAGAAGTTATCTTAGCTATGGATGAAGGACAGTACGACGGGAAAGTCGATGTTTGGTCACTCGGAATCACCTGTATTGAATTGGGTAAGTGAAGAGGGTTGTTTTGGTTGTATTTTTGAGACTCACTCCTTATGATTGTCAATTAACTCCTCCACCTTTTATTTGTTTCATTTTGTTTTTGTTTTTGTGGTTCTGGGCATTGAACTCAGGATCTCGTAACTACTAGGCAAGTGTTCAACCACTGAATGACTTTCCCAGCCCTTCATCCAGTTATTATTTAATTTATTATTTAACTGCTACATGTGTGCCAGGCAATGCGAATTTATTATAGATATTTCTGTGCTCTTGTACAACACAGAAGATTGCTTTCTCTTAGCTGCATTTCATGTTATTATTTTAATTAAAAGAATTTGAACAGACATAGGTATTTACAAACATGGAAATATAAGACAGTGTATACTAATATTTGAAAAACATTAATTCTCCATACTATGAGTAACATGTGTCCTGTCTTCACAGTAGTATTCATTACTTTAATTTATACTTCAACTTGAAGAAGGAAATCCAAAAAAGTGATAGAAGGCTTCTGAGCCTGTACTCCAAAACTGTATATGACCCACATAGAGTACAACCTTGGAGAAAACTTCATATTAGAAGATATATCAACCATAAAATTGTTCCCCAAAATATTGTTTGTGAAATTATCTAAAATTCCATGGAATCTCTTCTCCAGTTGTATATTTTGAACTTCAATATATCTTGAATTGGGCTGGGGATGTGGCTCAAGCGGTAGTGCGCTCGCCTGGCATGCGTGCGGCCCGGGTTCGATCCCCAGCACCACATACCAACAAAGATGTTGTGTCCGCCGAGAACTAAAAAATAAATATTAAAAAAAAAATTCTCTGTCTCTCTCTCTCTCTCTCTCCTCTCTCACTCTCTCTAATAATATATATATATATATATATATATATCTTGAATTACCTTTATCCAATAGTGAATTTAACAAATTTGCCAACTAGTAAATTTAGCAAATGAATCTCTTGGTGGTGGGATGGGCCTCTGATTTGTAACCCTTGCCAATTCCCCCAGTGTAAATACTCCCACTGTGGCACTTCAAAGCTACCAGTGTGCTGTTTACTAGATGTGAACTTGAGGAAAGATATAGACAGTTGGCCTTCCAAAGCCAGGATGAGCTGGCTCATAACCCTGACTTTATCTAGATATTTATAGATTTTAAATTAAAAATTTTTTTAAGTTTAAGATCAGTTTTTAAAAAGTTCTTTTGTCTGATCTTCTAAATTTAGACTTTGATTTTTTTTTTTCTTTCCTGGTCTCCAAATTGATCCTGTAAGGATTTTCTGAGTTCCAATTTGATTCTCGATTTCTGGTTTTCTTTTTCTAAAATGTTTGACCTACAAAGTACATTACCAGTGCTTCATTGAACCCTTTCAACCAAGGAACATAGGATAAGGATGTAGTTTTTTCTATTTTTCTAACATTAAAGAGATATTAGTGGAAAAATTTCCAAGAGAAAAATTAGAACAGTCACTTAATTTGTTTTAATTAAGTGATAGATTCACATGGTTTTTAAATTAAAAAGTCCAACAAAATGGTGAGACCCTGTCTCAGAAGATGGAAATTTTTAAATGTATATATATAAAACAACATATAATAAAAGGGTATCTTCTTCTTCTATTCCTGGCTCTATCCACATATTTCCCATCCTCCTGCTCCACCCCATCCACACACAGAGAATCACTATCACTAATTTCTTATGTATCCTTCCAGAGTTTTTTATTAATATACAAATGAATGGGAATCTATGCTTTTTAGGGGGCGTGCTGAAGATTGAACCATGGCCCCTCAACTATATCCCTGTCCCAGTATATACTGATTATATTCATTTTCACACCCAAGTTGACATATACATGTGGTTCCATGTTTTGATTTTTTTAATTAATAATACCTTGAGGATTTAAAAAATATTACTTAGTGATCTTTTCCATTGTTTTGATGGCATTGTTTTATTCCAGTGTATGGATACATAATAATTTATTTAATTGGTTCCATACTAATAGACATTGAGGTTATAGATTTCTTTTTTGAATTCTAATATTTTACTAGTCTGTTTCATTGCAAAGGATATTATTAAGATTTATTCTACTGATTTTGAGTGGCTCTCATCAGAAATACTTGCATATTTAAAAAAGACTTAGGATGGACTTCCAATAACACTCTGCAGAACTTGACTGAGTAATGGTAAAACTCTTACAGCCCAAACTAGCCAAAGCAATTGTGAACAAATAGAATTCAGGCAGAAGAATCACTGTACCAGAATCCATACCATAATAACTAAATTAGTAAAGTGTTGATCCAGGTAAAGACTAGTATCCAATAGAATAGGGGGAAAAAATCTAGAAACAGACTCATATGAGTCAGATTTTAGTATAAGAAAAATCTTTGTAGATTAATGGAGAAAGGGTGGCTCATTTGTTAAACAATACTGATAGATTTTGTTAATTATATGATAAGGACTAAAATTAGATTCCTAGGTATACCATACATTAAAATAAATTCCAGATTTGTTAAATATCCAAAAATTAAAAGTAAAACTTTAAAAGATTTAAGAGAATACCCCTCATGTCTCAGTTTTAAGGTCTCTCAAATAAAGTTAATAATAACACCTACTTTGTGGGGTTGTTTTGGTGATGGATTAATTAATAAACAAAGCAATTAATTGAACTGGTATATAGTAAGCATTGTGTAAATATATTATTACTTTCAATTGCCTTTATAAGTATAGGGAAGAATTTTTTCTAAATGATATTTTTAAAACATAATGACAAATTTTAATGAAAAGTCATAGACAGAGAGAAGGTAGGTGAAATGGATCTAACCAGCAGAGTGTTGGTTCAGAATTTATAAAGAACTTTTACAACTTCTTTACTAAAAAGAAAAAGACCAAACAACCAGAAGGAAAAAGAAAAAAACTGAGTACAGAATTTGATCAAACAATTCTTGAAGAGGAAACCTAAATGAACAGTGAGCATTGGGAAATGTTCATTCTCATTAATGTTTGGGGACATCCGAGTTAAAACTATTTTAAATCTCCCAGATTGACAAAAGGTTTTAATTCTTCGAATAATAAATTGGGAGAAGCTGCTAGGGAAACAAGACTTTTTCCTGCCATTGTAGGAACGACACTAATAAGACCCCTCTGGAATGTCAACTGGTCAGCCATAGCTAGTAAAACTGAGGAGTGGTCTCAATGACCCAATGTTCCACTTCTCATAGTAGACACAGAGAAATATTTTGCAGGTGCATTGGAAAATGTGTTCAAAGATGCAGCCCTGTTGGTAGGAACCAGAAAAGGTGGAGATGACCTAAATTCTTATTCAAAGGAGAATGGATAAATAAATTGTGGCATACTATATCACAGTTAATAATGAACAAGATCTACATTACCATCATGGATAGATCTAAAATCAGAGTATCTAAAGAACAGAAAATTGAGGAAGTACATATACAGTATCATGTCAATTATGGAGGTTATATAAGTGCTTTTATATGTTGTTAAGATCCTATGAATACTAATAGAGTATAGCATAGATATAAAAGATACAACTCCAGAATAGTAAGTCGGGAGAATGGAAGGGAAGAGATATCTTTTTTTTTTTAAAGAACAAAGATCTGAAATAAAACAAAAAATGATAATCTAATTGTAGGTATCTACTATAATATTCTACAGATTTTTTATGCTTTACATATTGAGCATTTAAGTTTTTGAAAAATTAGAAATAAAAGCACATCCTTTGTAAGGAGACTATTCTCTGCATAACAGAGAGTTAGCAGTATAGAATAAGTTTCAGAATTAAACACCCTGGGTTTGAATCTTGGCTTCACCACCACTTGGCTGGCAGGATCGCCAGGTATGGCTGTAACATCATGCCAGCAGGTATTCACATAGTCTAGGATATAAGTGATAACTCCCAGAGCTACGTGACATGTTGATGCTGGCTGTGTGATCTTGGACCATTTTTTTTTTAACTTCTCTTACCCTCAGTTTTCTCATTTGCTAAGTGGAAATAACAATACATAGGTATTTTCAGGTTTCAAAATAAGTTAAAATAAATATTTAACATAGTGATTGGCACATACCAAATACTGAATACCAGCTAATTATACTCATGTAGATTATTATTTTTTTTGCAATTTAATTTTTAGGAAATACGAATGACTGAAATTTTACCTATAATGCTGAAACCAGCAACTCCTTGGTTGATATTTTAAGAGAATGTACCAGCCAGGTTGAACCTCATAGCAAATTAGTGCTCACCCATAGTTTACACAAGTGTTTTTCTTACCAAAATCCTTCTGGAATGTAACATGGATTCCATCCTTCTCAACCGGACAAAAACAACAACAAACGCCCTTTTCTGATGACTCAGATCATCACGTTAGGTTTTACACCCTATAGAGATATAGTAATGACTCATGTTTCACGCATCACTTGACATTAGGCAAACAGGTAGAGATGCCAAGAAACATCTGAAGTCTTCCTCTCTTGCAACAGCCCCTGCCCAGTGCCTGTTTCCTGATTTTATCTTTGTTTAAAAATAATTGAAATATGTGTAATGACATGCTGTCAGCCTAATTCTGATTACCATTTATGAAATGACTTCCCAAATTAAAAGACAAGATGGCCTTCTCCCCAAGGGTTGTTGTCATCTACAGTTAGAAAGACTTTCACATTGAAAGGGGATAGTATCAAATTGTGATTTAAAAAAAAAAGTCTGCAGTCAGATAAACTCATGTTCTAATTCTAGTTCTGACATTTCTTAGTTACGTGATTTGGGTCAAGTTATTTTAACTGTCTGTGAAATTTGTATAATAAGATTCCCTACCTTATGGGAATTGTCTGGATTAAATGAAAATATGGATTTCAGGTGCTTTTTATTGTATTATGTGTTCTTAATAAATGTCAGTAATCATCAGCACTATCCTGGGACAATGGTAGTTCATCCAAATTTTTAACATCTCTTTAAAACCAGGAGGTAACAAGGTCTGGGGTCAGTTAATAACAA